CCAGTCCTGTGACCACTGCTGAGCTTTCCAAATTTGCTGACATATTGACTGTAGCACTTTAACAGCATCATCTTTTAGGATTTTACATAGGTCTGCTGGAATTCCATCACCTCCATTAGCTTTGTTCTTAGTAATGCTTCCTAAAGTCCACTTGACTTCACACTCCAGGATGTCTGGCTCTAGGTGAGTGACTACACTCCTGTCATCATAGTTATCTGAATCATTAAGACCTTTCTTGTATAGTTCTTCTGTGTATTCTGTCCACCTCTTAATCTCTTCTGTTAGGTCCTTACTCACTCCCATTCTTGGATGAAATGTTTCCTCTGCTATCTCCAATTTTTTTTTGAAGAGAAGTTCTCTTTCTTAGAGAATCTTTCTCATCCTGTTGTTTTCCTGTATTTCTTTACACTTCATTTCAGAAGGCCTTCTTATCTCTCTGCTTTTTTCTCGAACTCTGCATTCAGTTGGGTATATTTTTCCCTTTCTCCCTTTTCAGCTATTTGTAAAGCCTCCTCAGACAACCACTTTGCCTTCTTGCATTTCTTTTTCCTTGGGGTGGTTTTGGTCACTGCCTCCTGTACAATGTTATAAACCCCCATATATAGTTCTTTATGCACTCTGCCAGATCTAATCCTTTGAACCTATTCATCACCTCCACCTTATAATCATAAGGGATTTGATTTAGGTCATACCTAAATGGTCTAGTAGTTTTCCCTACTTTTCTTCAATTTAAGGCTAAATTTTGCAATAAGGAGCTCATGATCTGAGCCACGGTCAGCTACCAGTCTTGTTTTTGCTGACTGTATAGAGCTTCTCCATCTTTGGCTGCAAAGAATATAATCAATCTGATTTCAATAGTGATCATTTGGTGGTGTCCATGTGTCGAGTCATCTCTTGTGTTGTTGGAAAAGTGTTTGCTATGACCAGTGTGTTCTTTTGGCAAAATTCTGTTAGCCTTTGCCCTGCTTCATTTTGTACTCCAAGGCCAAACTTGCTTTCTACTGCAGGTTTCTCTTGATTTCCAACTTTTGCATTCCACTTCCCATGATGAAAAGGACATCATTTTTGCTGTTAGTTCTACAAGGTCTTATAGATCTTCATAGTCAACTTTAGCTTCTTTAGCATCAGTGGTTGAGGCAAAGTGATGTTGAATGGTTTGCCTTGGAAATGAACCAATGTCACTGTTTTGTTGACTATGAGGGCTACTCCATTTCTTCTAAGGGATTCTTGGCCACAGTAGGAGATATAATGGTTACCCGAATTAAATTCACCCATTCCTGTCCACTTTAGTTCACTGATTCCTAAAATGATATTCACTCTTGCCATCTCCTGCTTGACCACGTCCAATTTCCTTGATTCATAGACCTAACATTCCAGATTTCTGTGCAGTATTGTTTACAGCATTGGACTTGACTTTCACCACCAGACACATCCACAGTTGAGTGTTGTTTCCGGTTTGGCTCAGCCAGTTCATTCTTTCTGGACGTATTAGTAATTGCCCTCTGCTCTTCCCCCGTAGCATATTGCACACCTTCCAACCTGGGGGGCTCATCTTCCAGTGGTATGTGTTTCTGCTCTTTCATACTGCTCATGGGGTTCTCATGGCAAGAATACTGGCGTGTTTTGCCATTCCCTCCTCCAGTGGGCCACATTTTGTCAGTACACTTCACTATGACCCGCCCATCTTGGGTGGCCCTGCACAGCATGGCTTATAGCTTCATTGCATTACAAAGCCCCTTTACCAAACCATGCTGTGATCTATGAAGGGGCTTCTGACATAGGTGTGTTAAGCAGTCTAGCTTAATGGTTAAATTGAAAGTGAAAGTACACTCAGTCATGTCTGTTTGCAACCCCATGGACTATACAATAGAAATCCATGGAATTCTCCAGGCCAGAGTACTGTAGTGGGTAGCCTTCCCCTTCTGCAGGGGATCTTCCCAACCCAGGGATCGAACCCAGGTCTCCCTCATCGTGTGTGAATTCTTTACCATCTGAGCCACAAGGGAAGCTCAAGAATACTGGAGTGGGTAGGCTATCCCTTCTCCAATGGATATTTCCGACCCAGGAATCGAACCGGGGTCTCCTGCATCGCTAACAGATTCTTTACCAGCTGAGCTATCAGGGGTTTTTCAAGTCAGAAAAACCTGGGTAATCTTCTTTGTACCCCAACTTTCCTGTCTTTGAATGGAGTTGTGGTAAGCATATATGATGAGTTTTATTGTCCATAAAGTGCTTTGTATAATGCATGATGTGCTATCCAGTGCTAAGTAATTGATAATTGTTCTTATTAGGAGTTAGCAAACAGCTAGTGTGTCCAGGGAAGCTTGCAACTTTAAAACACTTGAAGTGTGGCCATCCTGTGACATAGGGTGGAGCCCCTGATCGAACCTGAGAAATCTCTTGGTGCAGAACTGTTTCCCAAAGAAAGAGGTAGACAGTAAAGAAGGGAGCCCATTAGGTAATCAGGGGACCACACTCACCATCAGATCTGTAAATACTTCCTTCTGGCTTGAGACCATCACTTGCCTGAAAGGAAAGGACCAGAATGGAAGGAAGGGACCCAGCCTGCTGGCACTTTGATCATCTGTCTAAACTGAAATCCCACTCCTTTTTTTCTTTTTATCTCTTTGGTATAAAATGCCTCAGGTTTCAGCTGGTTCTGCTATGTCAGGTCATCAAAGATGCTCTCATGTGGAGGGCTTGTAAATGGGTAAATGGATTAGAACCTCTTAGAGAGGTCCATCTGTTCTGTCCCTACTTGAAGGCCTTGGCATCAGGATTTGGAGGAAGCTGGCATAATATAGCATCTGTCCAATGGGAGCAGAGGTGAGTGGCCTAGGGTAGGTGAGTCAGTCAGAAACCAGGAAATCTTCTTATCATGCCAGATACCTGGGCTTTCCTCAGCAGCAAGAACTGAGCAGCAAAATCTGGTGAGTCAGCGTGTCTGGGAATTAGAGTTGCCAGTCTGTGAGCATGTGGAATTTTTAAGTTTAGGCCTTTTGTTTCTTTCAGCATTTCAGTCTTAGAAACACAGATCTGGAAACCAGACCGTCCATGTGGTATAGTGCTGTTTGTTTTGGATAATTTAGCTTGAACAGGTTGCTTCTCATGTATTCTGGTCTTCCACGAATTAACCCCTTGGCTTTTACAATTTTAATAAGTTGTGCTATGGCTTACTAGCTATATTCTAAAAGCATAAAAAGGTTTCAGAAAACTTACTTGGGTCTGTCATTTTCCACACCAAAACCCTTCTAAAGGGCTTCAGTGTGGTTTTGAAACCTAAGTGAAACTGCAAATCCAAAAAAGGCATGTATAGTCATGTCTGTCATTTATTCTTTTTGAAGGTGGAGAATGGGACACACCCTGATACTATGTGATTCCAATGAACACGGGAATGATTATGGTCTTCATTTTAAACTTGTACACTCAGAACATACCCTTGGAATTCCTTTTGAGGATAACTCTGAATTTATGCAAGTATTATTTGGAGGAAGTAAAGTTCTTTAGCTTAAGTTTAAAGCTCCAACTTTACATTAAAAGCACGCTTTTACCCTACTGCCAGTCTTATTAGAGCTTCGAATTTGGATTGTGAAGGTCCATGGCTCTAGAGCTGGTGAGACATGGGTCTGACATTGATTTGGGCCACTTTCCCTGCTATACTTCCAGGTTTCTATTAACATAATTTCAGAGGCTACAATTATTATGCTCTGCTGTGCTGTGCTTAGTCACTCAGTCGTGTCCAACTCTTTGCAACCCCGTGGACTGTAGCCTGCCAGGCTCCTCTGTCCTTGGGGATTCTCCAGGCAAGAATACTGGAGTGGGTTGCCATGCCCTTCTCCGAGGGATCTTCCCAACCCAGAAATTGAACCCCGGTATCCTGCATTGCAGATGGATTCTTTACTCTCTGAGCCGCCAGGGAAGCCCAAGAATACCAGGGCAGGTAGCCTGTCCCTTCTCTAGGGGATCTTCCTGAGCCAGGAATTGAACTGGGGTCTCCTGCATTGCAGGCAGATTCTTTAGGTAGCAAAATTTTACAAGCACTAAATTTTAGATGGTGGTAGACTAGTTGAAAGTAAGAATGAGTCTAAGTAGATAAAGTGTCTCCAGAGAAATCACCTCCTTCCTGGCCAAGAAATTTCTAGCAATCTTCCTATAAAACACTTTTTAGTTAAGTAATAAGTAAATCACTATGATGTTATGTATTAGTGCAGACTTTTCTTTTTCATCTAGCGGTCATCCTGTCATTTAGAGATTGTATTTGGGTAAATCAGCCCTTCTTTTAAAATGGAGACACCTTCTTAGAAGACTAGTAAACCTGCAGGCCCTATAGGACATTCACATTTAGTGTGAACTTGACTTTCCTTCTACATACTGCCTTTCTGGGAGGGGTATTTAGAAAAGAAGCTCAGCGACTGGGACCCTTGGCATGGAATAGAGTCCTGGTGGATGACTCCCATAGGTGGATACGGTAAGGGTGGAGAAAGGGCTTGCAAATTCTTTACCTCATCTTTAGGGCATTATGAAACTATATATAGTTATTTTGGATGTGACCACTCTTTCTCCCTGTTCATCCTACTTAAAAAGAAAATCTGAGAATTTTAACATTAGAGATTAGAAGATGAATCTTTTATTTGTACCTTTGGTGTTAACACAGGTTCAAATAACTTTCTTATGGCGAATTGGCAAGACAAATTTCCTTTGGAATATTTCTGGCAAACCCATAGTCTTCCTGATGCATTCTGCACATGAATTCTTTGTGATCTATGTTACCTTAAGAATTTTAGGAATTTCCATTATTGGTTCTCCGTATGTGTCCTAGCCACTGCATTTCCAAGGTAAAGGTATAGGCTTGTGAGGAAGGTGATGGGGAACTTGGGGTACTTCCGCTAGTTCATGGTTGGCTCATTGCAAGAATGGTGTTGCACTGTGCAGTCCCTGGACAAGAGCTTGCATACTCTGTCTTCCTGTTCAGTGGTGATTGCTCTTTAATTTTCTTCTAGGTTGGCTGGCTCCTCTGACTGATGGCATGTTGAGGCACATGGGCCAGTGGCAACGAGGGCATCCAATCCAGAGAGGGCCGCTCTAGAGGCCCGGCCACCAGCATCATGGGCCAGTGTGTCACCAAGTGCAAGAATCCCTCATCAACTCTGGGTAGCAAGAATGGAGACCGTGACCCCAGCAGCAAGTCACATGGTAGGCGGAGTGCAAGCCACCGTGAGGAACAGCTGCCCGCCTGTGGCAAGCCAGGTGGAGATATCCTTGTTAATGGGACCAAGAAGGCAGAGGCTGCTCCTGAGGCCTGCCAGCTGCCAACATCCTCCGGAGATGCTGGGAGGGAGCCCAAGTCAAATGCCGAGGAGTCGTCTTTGCAGAGGTTGGAAGAACTGTTCAGGCGCTATAAGGATGAACGGGAGGATGCAATTTTGGAGGAAGGCATGGAGCGCTTTTGCAATGATCTATGTGTGGACCCCACGGAATTTCGAGTGCTGCTTTTGGCTTGGAAGTTCCAGGCTGCTACCATGTGCAAATTCACCAGGTTAGTCACAAATACTTGGTGTCACCAGGTGAACAGAGGAGGAAAAAGAGCACCATTGAGCAGTGGTGCTCAGCTAGGATAGAAGTGGGCATCAACAATCCTTGCCTGAAGTTAAATGAATAATCCATGTTGCCAAGTTGCTGTCCCACCCCACTGCTATTTCAGACTTCTGTCTTTTCTTCTGCTCCTTTGTCAGTTCACTTACTTCCTTACTCAGTAACCTCTCATGTGTCAGGCATCGAGTGCCACTGGGGATGTGCTTTAGTCACTGTAGGAAGCTTGTTGCCCCTTTTAGCTCTCCGAATAATACCCTTAGCCACCCTGTGTTCCAGTAAGGACAGCTGGCCCCAGTTATCAACTAGTGCGTGCGTGCAATCATGTCCAACTCTTTGTGACCCTGTGGACCGTAGCCTGCCAGGCTCTTCTGTCTGTGGTATTTTCTGGGTAAGAATACTGGAGTGTGTTGCCATTTCCTCCTCCAGAGGATATTCCCAACCCAGGGATTGAACCCATATCTCCTGTGCTGGCAGGCAGATTCTTTACCACTGAGCCACCTGGGAAGTCCTGTCAGCCAGTAGTTAAGTACTTTGTTATGATCATGCATCCATCCCTACAGAGATTATTTGTGGGAGACAGCATGGCAGGGTCACCACAAGGGTGGTTTGCAGAGCACTGGATTATAAGTAAGAAGAATTGACTTTGAGAACCCCTCGATACAACTTTTAGTCCCTGGGTAGGTTACTCAGCAGACCTCAGATGTTCTATCTTCAGAACATACAGAATCTCAAAGAACATGATCAGTGTGAGACCATGTTGTAAGCCAGAAGTGTTATATATAGATGTTAAAAAATACACATACAATGTTTGCTTTTTAGTAACAGAATTTTGATCTCTGGTGGCAGTTTCCCCAGGTTCATCCAGAATCTTTGGACTCCAAAAATTTTCCTTGGCAGTAACCAAAAATATTCCAAAAACAAACAACCCCTATAGAATCAAAAGGAAAACAGGAAGACTCCCTCCCATCTCCAAGGAAAGTCTACAGCTTAATCACTATTGCAGAATGAGAAACCGCATGGAGCAGGAGACTTTGAGTTTAGCTTTGGAAAGATGAATAGATGAATGAATGATATCAGCTGCCTACCATGTGCCTGGCACTATTAGAAGTTGACATAACTTGTTTAGTTAAACCCTATGAAGTAAGGTAGTATTCTTACCATTTGACAGATGAAGTAGAATTGCAATTAGTAGAGGAGTTGGAGTTCAAATCCCGACAGCCTCATAATTATGCTCTTAATTATGATACTATATCGCCTCTCAGTAAATGATATCATTTACAATGATTAATTATGCCCCTCCTCCCTATTGCAGGAAGGAATTTTTTGACGGCTGCAAAGCAATAAGTGCAGACAGCATTGATGGGATCTGTGCACGGTTCCCTAGCCTCTTAACAGAAGCCAAAC